CGCGGCGTCGGAATATTACCGGCACGTCACTTCGCGGCAGCGGTGGTGACGGCGGCCCGTAGTACGCTCGACACGCGTCGTTAACGTTAACGTTAACGTCTTGACAGTGTGCGTGCGTGTGTATATGCTTTTTCCGCTTTCTTGCCTCTCGACCCCCGCGGGCGGCTACGGTCCACTCCGCTCCGTTCCGTTCCGTTCCGGGACGCACGCACGCATACACGCGCGCTCCTCGCCAAGTCCATTGAGCTCTATACGTACCTGGAGTGAGCTGAAAGAAGTGGGGGTAGTCTCATTCTCTCTCCGTCGAGTGGGGACGTCTGTCCCGTGTCTGTCCTCGTTTTCACTATCCCCACCGTACACGGCGGTGAATGTGGAAGGAGGACAGACGTCCCCGCCTGCTATTGCTATCCTCGGGCCGAAAACTGCACATTGGTTCTTACAGGAAGGCTCAATCCAGTGTGTATAGAGCTCAATGGCCAAGTCCGCGGCGCGTTTCTCGTGCAAATGCGCGCGCTCTAGTCGCATCGTCGCGAACGAACCGCGAATCGAGAGAAGGAGGAGCAGGAGTTCGGACTCGGACCGTCACTCCTGTTGATTCTTAAGGGCAGTGAACTCTATGGCTGCGTTCGCTTTGGACGCTTATGCGCTTTAAGCGCTTATAAGCGTCGCTCAGAGCGTTCATTTTGGCGTTGTGAGCTGTTGTGAGCGCTCAGAGAAGCGTTTATAGCCTGTTCAGACTATGCAATTTATTGCAGCAATTCGCAAGCGGTCTAGTAAATTACTAGGAATGCTGTGTGCTGTATGGTGCATTTTTAGGGAGATGCACAGAAGCTAAACGCGTCGTTCGTGCGCTTTCGATTCGCCTGCTACTGATACAACAGTACGTGCGAATACAAACACGTGTTTACACTACACTTTCTGTGTTTTCTTATATAAGTAAAATAAATCTATATTCTCTCCTAAATTCCATAGAGATTTCTTCTATTTTATTAACGCATTTATCAATATTAGAATAGAATAGAATTTGTCAACAATATTTATCGGTATCAGAATAATTAATATTATAAAGTATCAAAATTGTTCTATATTTAGTTTCGCGGGATGTTCATCGGGAAATAAATTCTGATATAAATTTTTTAAGTTGAAAATTTAATGGTTTTTTAATATAACATATATACATTTTCTTTTCCGAAATTGTGCGCACTTGATTTAATTTTCTTTATAATCTCAAAAGTAGTTTGTAGAATGATACATGTTTCGCTCTCAAATTTATACGTTAATATTTTTATTTCGTTTACATAGTTGCTATTTTTCAATGTGTATCTTTATATATAATTTTTTAGAAATTTTTTAAACAGTTTTTGTTCTACATTGAAATGACAATAACATCGGTTAATGAGTTAAACCTGAAGATATTCATATCTTATTCATTTTTATATCATACAATGTACCATATATCTTCTTTACATATATTTATAAAACATAGAACCAAATGGCACATAAACATTGATTGTAATTTTGTATACCTCTCTCATAAAGATCTAAATTTTGTAATCGTTCATAAAAACATTATGGTCAATTTTATTTCATTTTGAGACTGGAAGAGAGTAAAAATATAGATGTACATGTTTATATTACACTGAAGCATGATTAAACCTATCGCAAAACTAAAACTGTAACATACAAGAATTTTTGGTTTCTTTACTGATGAATACATAATTTGCGTAAATATATTTATAATGTAATACAAATATATTACTAATATTCTTCTAAACTACAAAAGGCAACAACTAACAACATTAATTTATGTATTCAGGTATTAAATATTGAATGTAAGTCACAACTTAGTTTTATATATGTATATGTATGTGTGTATGTGTGTGTGTGTGTGCGTGTGCGCACACACACACACACACAAATATGTATATATATACTCTTTAAAAAATCATGTCATTTTCTATATTGTATTTTACAATTCCAGTAATTAAAAAAATTGCGTAAGAGTGACTCAAAAATGAATTTATTACGTGAGAGAACGCGTATAGAAATGCATAATTGTGTGTGCCACTTAAAAAGTAGAATATATGTAACACATGCGAAAATATAACAATGGGGTACCAGAGTTTTTGAGAAAACTCCAAAATTGAAATAAAGATAAATACATTAAAAGATATATATATATATATTACTTTTGTATCATTCAATGCATCAATTAATGATCAAAATTTATCATTTTCTATTTCTTTTACAACTTAATACTATTATGTGCAATCACACAACTAATTTTGGACATATATGTATGTTTAGTTTTAATTATATTTTGGATTATATTATGAATTTTATCATAAAAGCTATATTTTATAAACTTAAATATTATAATTTTAAAGACATGAGTGTCTGAAATATATCACAACAAAAAAATATTTGATTCCAAACAGAATTAAATAAAATAAATTAAAATTTCAAAATAATTATATTGAATGAAAGCTCTTATCATTCATTGTCATTATATATATTTGATATCACAACATGATATTGAAACTCCAATTTACCTTATAAAATTTTTTTCTACAATGTCTTTTAGTACGGAATTATAAATATTTCATCTGAGGATTCTATTATTTCAACATTATAATTATTACACATTACGCTTCAATAAAAATTTCTTTAGTTTACGACAAGGAAACTGATAGTATTGAAAACTACAGTTTCGCAATGATAAGATCTTACTTTCATTCTTGTCGTAATGTCTATGTAACTTACGAAAAACTGCCAAGAGGACAATTATAAACAGCAGCTAAAAGGATGAATTTATTTCTTTAATCTAGATCCAATTGTCTCGTGCTAAGCGTGCCCGTGTGTAGTTTCGATGTTCTCATCTTTCTGAACGATTTGAGCAGATCCTCCATCGTGATGGGCCGTACAGTGTCGTGAAACTCTTCGCCGAGTTCGTCATTTGCACTGTTTTCATATTTCTCTTCGTCACTGTAAATGATATATAAATAACATTATAAAATATAATATACATTCAACTCTCATAATTTTAGACCGTACAGATATAATATTAAATTTGTTTTCTTTAAAAAGTTCTTTAAATACTTACTGCGAATATAAATAATCTCTGATACGATAAATGGACGCATTCCGACAAAGCTCCTGCAAATCCGATCCAGAGAAGCCTTCTGTGTGCTTCGCTATTGTCGCAATTTCTACATTATCTGCGATTGGCTCGTTTTTCAAAATTAACTGTAGGACTTTTAATCGTTGCTGCTCATTCTGGAACAAATGCATCAGCATTACAGTTTCATAATCGTTTAACATATAAGTGACAGATGCAGGTATTTTCTACAAATACCTAATAATTTAATTAAAAATATATATAAAAATTTAATATTTAATAAATATATATTTACCGGCAAACTAACGTGGAAAGTTGCCGGCATACGCCGGAGTATTGCTTTATCTAAATCTTGTGGCCTATTAGTGGCTCCCATTATAATCACAGTACAATCGGGATCGGTTATCAATCCGTCCCACAGTGACATAAACTGGGCCTTCATCATTGCTGTAGCTTCGTGATCTTGTGAATTGCGTGCTCTTAGAAACGAATCTATCAAAATTTAAAATACATTGATTGATGAAATTTTATCTTTTGTAAAGTGTATTATACATTTAAAAAGTTTTTTGATACAAACAGGTGGAAAAAGTTTCTGACAGAATGTGATTCAAAGAGCTACTATTCTTGCGATGTACCTATTTCATCGATGAAGATAATGCAGGGCTGCAGTTTCACTGCTAACGAGAAGACGGCAGCGGCCAATTTTTGACTTTCTCCATACCACTTGTCAGTTAGGATGCTCACATCCAGATTTATAAAGCGAGTATTTGCCTCCCGGGCAGTAGCCTTTGCAATCATAGTCTTGCCGCAACCTGGCGGACCGTATAACAATACTCCCTGAAAGTGACAAGTGCAAAACATATCTATAGATTTTTCTCAGAGAAGAAACTTAAAGAATAAATGCGACTGGTACCTTAGGTGCCTGAGTCAACTGCGAGTCTTCAAACAATTCCTTCCTCTGTATGGGCAATATAACCGTTTCCTTCAGCTCTTGAATAACGCTTTCTAAACCAGCGATATTGCTCCATGACACCTTGATATCATTTGGATCTACCAAATGATTGGCTATTATCATCTCATAATCTGTCAGCTGATCCAAATCAAAGGATCGCGCATATTTATCGTTCTCTGCTAGCTTACGTAATTGCTCTCGAGCCTGCAACAATCATTTCAATTATTTAAAATCAAAGTTTTGCATTGTTTTCAATTTGCGATTTCAAACTTTTTTTCATAAAACAACCATGAACCTTTTTCTTGGCTCTTTGCTTAGTACTTCTAGTAGGGTCGAGCTGACTAATGATCCATCTCATGCTGAAGAAACCAATTGCTGCAACACATGTCAGCCTCGCCATAAGCATCAATATCTCCTGTCGTGTTAATCCTGCACTTGCTGCCATGTTCATTGTTCTGGCTAGTTTGCTATCTTCAACATTCAATGGTTGCGCTGCAACAAATTCAATATATTTAATACTTGATGATTTGATATTTGATATGATCACATTCAGCAGAACACAAAAAACACTTATAATAGTTGTTGAACTGTTGAATAACAATTGCAAGGTAAATTGTTAACTTATGAATCGTTGAACAACAATGAATAACGTTTGATACAATCATATCATAAATAGCTTTATATAATTTTGAAAAATATGAACTTTGTATTGGAGATATCAATAATTTGAAAGAAGAAAAGGTGAAATGCATTTGTAGTTATCTATAATATTCAAGTTTGTTGTATAAGCGTTGAGAACGTCTAAAGATTTCGAAAATCTTAAATTTATATAATCAGAGCATACATCAACTTACTAGCAACAATTATAAAGTTGTTAAAGAATAAATTTGCGCAGCGTTAAATGCTGCTTCACTGAGCAGCTTCTGCCGTCAGGAACTTAACCTTTCCTAAACACGCGATTTCACTAAGCGATGACGAAACGAACGATAAAAGCAACTTATAGGTTAAGATCTCAGTGAAAGAAAAGAATGATCATGCGCGATGAGTCGATTTCGAAGTCGCTGCTGAATGCTCCGATGAACCATTTGAAAAGCGTTAAAATAAATTGTTATTTATTTATTACTTTGCAATGAATAGATAGAACAAAATGAAATAAACGCTGTTTTGTAGAGAAAACTCGTTAGTTGTATTACATATAGTATGAAAAAAAAGGAACAATAATTAAGTAATTTGAAGAAACGTTCTGAAAAAGTGCTATAAATCTGTCTGAGCGCTTAGTAATAAATATTTTCGAAATTTTATACTAACACTTTAGAGAGAAAGAAAGTGTGAAGCTGGCGTATAATTTCGTGGAAACTTTTAACATTAATAATTGAGAGTTCTGGCTTACCAATTAAATGTTTAATATAAAAATTAATCAATTACACATATAAGATAATTATAACGCAATACGACTGCTTTATATTAATTATCTGATTCGAATTTCTCTTTGTAAACATCTGAGCTGGTACACGATATATTCTGATTTCTAATAATATTAGAGGTGACAACATCAGAGATCAAAAGAAGCTTTGAACAGAAGAAGAAGATTCGTTAACGCGATTTCCTATAAAGAATATCAGTGGCCACAATCAAGTATGTATTAAAATTATTTTAATTAATATTGCAAAATTAATATAAGATTCAGAAACGTAATCTAGAAAACTGAAGAATTTTGTGACCAGTTTTTATATTTGTGTCTCTTTTATTTCAGTAACTTATACTATTTGAACAATAATTCTAATCAACATGTTTATTATCAAAATATATTCTTAGAAAAACCTTAAAATTTGAAGTGTACTTGAGATACATTAGAAAGAGACGAACAATTATAATGGAAGACAAAGTAAGTTTTTTGCTTTATGATACTTTTTTGCGGAAACACCATCAAAATCTTTGAGAACACAAAATTAAAAAAATAAATAGGGTCCGTAGTATTCTCTAAAATTTGTTGTAATTCATTGCATTCTATTGCAAGAGTTTTATTATTTGTTAATTGTTTACACTTTTTGCTAACATGAAAAAAACATATTAAATGTATTGATTATTTCCAGAATTAATAAATAAATTTTATTTACAGAATTTGTCTGAAAAAAAAGTAGAGAGTGTCCCTAATGAAATCTCAGAAAATAAACAGAATATGTCTAAAAAAGCAATATCTTTATATAGTGACAGTTACACTCAAACACGACTTCAGTCGAATATCTTTAACTACACATGGATAATAGAAGGCTTTGATAATATTTTTAAGACTTGCAGTGTATTAATCTCTCCACCATTTCCAGAAATAGCTCAATATCAGATTAAAGTAAAATTCGAGAAAATCGAGAATTCTGAAATACAATTTTACATCGTCACTGAACAAAAATTTACAGGCTCATGTTCTATTTTGTTAGAAGATTTATCAGCGATGTCATGCGAAACGCTAAACGACACAAAATCGTTTATGATCTTTGAAGAGAAGGATAATTACATAAATGCACATCGCTTAGATGATCTAAGCTCTATTCCGAAACAAATTAAAATAAAGTGCGTATTAGAAGTTTTCCAGAAAATTCTAAGCGATAGTATCCACACGCCGTTATCTTCCACAAATCTAAAGATCGAAAACTCTTCTCCCATCCGCGATAGCAATTCTAAGGAAGATACAAAATTGATCAAATTTATGATAAGTGGAATAAGTTACAGTGTATCCAAACATATATTATATACTACAAAAAGTAACTTTTTTAAAACTTTTTTACAAAATATACAAATAAAAAATGAAATAAAAATAGAAGAATTTCAGTCAAATTATTTTAAGACTGTATTAACATATATACAAACTGGTTTAGTACAATTTCCGGAAGAACATATGACTTATAGCGAATTATTAAAAAATGCTTATAAATATGACGTACAAAATCTTAAATTGATATGTGAGCAATATTTGCTACGTGAGGTTACATATCAAACTGCTGTAGAATTTATGAAACTTGCGTTGATATGTGATGCAAAATTGTTAGCAGAATATGCAGCAAGTGTCATCAAATTTTATTATGAGAAAATTGCATATACTAAAGAGTTTCAACTTTTACAGCAAGAATACTCCGACAAGATAAATGAATTGATTGAAAAAAGTAAAATACTTCAAACTTCTGAGGACTTTTTATAATCTTATCAATCTTAATCATAAATGAAAAAATGTATGATAATTATTTAAAAAAATTTTTTCCACAAGTATGAATGCAGCATTATATGTATTCGCGTGCAGTTATAATTTTATTTTACTTACTTAGTGCTACGATATAAAAATTATAACTTTTAATTTTCTTATGTAGGAATCTATATATATATATATTGTCATGCATAAGGTGCGCAAAAATATAATTTGTCATGTACCATTATTTATAATTTGACATGTGTCATTATTTATATATATAGAAAATTTAGTTTGAGTTGTTTTAAGACATATACTGAGAGAGAGAAAAGTATGTAATATTTGGAACTATAATTGTATGGAACTATAATTATAATCAGAATACTCCTTTTTATAGGAATTGTTACTATAATGTTAGCAATAATAGCCTTACACGTATATGGTACTTTCAATTATATAATCAACTATATAGTTAGAATACCTATAAAAATATGGTTATAGATTATGGTTATTACAATTATTTTTTTCTCTGTGTAGAGATTGATTTAAAAGGTATCGATCGAGAAAAATTAAAAAATTTTTTATTAATTAAAGATTTTTTTAATTTTGAAAATATGTTATTCAATTTTTAGTTCATGCTGTTTTTAATTAGTGATTCAATCGAGTTCTTTTTTTTATATTATCCTGTATGCATGTATACGCAAAAATACAAATTTTTTATATTAATATCAATTTTAAAAAGTTAATCATGTCTATTATGTAGTTTATGTATTTGGCGTGTAATAAAATATTTTTTTCAACATAAATCCCAAGAGCGTGAATTTTTATTGAATTGAATTTGCCACAATACAACTTCAATCTGATTAGACTTCTTGAATTTTGCTTATTCTCAATTGTTATAAGAAATTAAAGCATTATGAAAAAGAAACTGGCGCTTTAAAGACGACTAGGCTTGCTTTGCTAAATAAATATAATCGTGTAATAATATTGATATAATAATAATTAGAATGTATTTTTAACT